GTGGCCTGGCTATGTGCCATTTTAAAGTCTGATACCCATGGTCATGGCCGTTGATTTCCATTGTTTAATAATTTAATTACGCTAGATTGAGAAAATTATTCTTGCCTCAATGATAATGCCACTAGGGAGAAATAGAGATTGATGGCAGCCTTGGGAGTATGTCTTGTTCTACTGGTGTTTTCCAGCTGACTGGACATCCATTGCATTCACTAATTGAACTTTAGTGGCAAAAATAGACAGAAAAAAGTCTCACAAAGTTAGATGATAAGCATGCATATTCCATACAATCCCTATACATCTGTAAACCAAGTTCAAGGTACATCTGTTTTTAACTCTTTAACTGCATAGTTAATCCTCTGCCATGGTTATTTTATGCTGCATACTTAGGGGCATTTGTATAAAGCAGTGAATGTGACAACCACCAAACATTCACTGCAGGTTAATCAAGACCCAGTGAATGTAAAGAATACAGTACCCTGTCCAACTTCAAACCTTAAAGTGACATTAAAGGATATTTTTTTCCCTCCCCCCAATTTTAGTGTAAGGATTTACCTTAAACCATTCCTCTTAATCCGATCATCATCTTCTTTAGTGTAGTTTTCAGATGTCCCTCCAGTGCTGGTGTGGGTCTCCGATCTAGCGCTGACCCCTGTGTCATCCTCTCCTCTGACGTCCCACGGAGTCTGTGCGTGTGCACACTGCTCCATAGATTTACCTTGTGTCTCTCCTCGTCTCCCGGCCGAACATCTGAACTGCACATGCGCCCACCCCAAGATCCTTTGCGGCCGCCCCTAGACTCTTCAGGTGTTGGATGGGTGTTCCATTTTTGGACCCTTCCACAAAAAAAGAACCCACCATTTTCTCTGCAATGGCTTGAAACTGACCAAAATAATTGGCATCCATCATTGTTCCATATTTAGAAATAGTTAGACTTTGCTTTTGATTTTTGATTTGACTGAATATTTTAAATAATAAAACAAAAAAGCTTTAGACAAAAATGATGGGATCCTTAAAGGAGAACTATGAGGTGAGTGCTTTTCACTCACCTCATAGTTCTAGCCAACCTGTGACAATGAGACTGTCACAGGTCGGCTCAGTAGATCGGGAGGTGAGCGAACACATACCGGGTCCTGTCACGATCCTGTCACGGCTCTCTGCCGTGACAGGGGGAGGGGCTGGATTCCCCTCTCCCCGCTCAGATCTGCCAGCGCTGACTGGTGGAACGGACGGGGGAGGGGGCGGGTAAAGCTGGCTCTGCCTCTAGATAGACAGAGCCAGCTGTCACTCACGCAGCTGGGCGGATCCTGTCGTCTAAGTCGGGATCCGCTCCGCTTAAAAAGCAATGGATGGTGCAATCAAACTCTGGTACCTTGACCATGGAGTTCAGCTTGTGTCTCTTTGGAATTTTCTTGGTTCTTTGTCTACCGTTCGCTCTATGCTTCTGTTCAATCTGGGACCCATTTTCCTCTTATGGCCATGTCCAAGATGGTCGTCTACATTCCCATGAAAATTAAACTTCTTAATGGTTCCAGTTGTACTCACAGGAACATGAAGTTGCTTAGGGATGATCTTTTAGCCTGTACCTTTGGCATGCTGGTCTATAATTTTCTTTCTGATCTCATCAGGAAACTCTTCCCTTTACTTCCTCTGGTCTATGTTGAGTGAGGGGCACACAATCATACCAAACAGCTGAGTGACTACTTTCCTTTATTTAAATAGACTGACTGATTACAGGATTGAAGAAGTGTGATACTAATTACAGAAAACAGTTTGAAAGATTACTATGATCCAATTATGTATAATCTTTTTCTAGGGTGCCAGCAAATCTGTTCAGACTATTTATTATAGCTTTGTAGAGCAAGCAATACATATTTTTGTCGTTTCATCACGATAGTAATAAAGCATTGTTTCAATGAGGTGTTAGGGTACCAACAAATTTGTCCAAGTTTTTATTCAATTTGTAGATTACCTAGCAGCTGTCCTCCATTTCACATCCTTACTATTAAGTGTTACAATGACTTTCGATACAACTACTGAATGCAGCTAAAGCCTGCATCACACTTTACTGGAAATAGACCACCCTCATCAACTAGCTTATGGTTAAATAAATAGAAATAAAAACCATGAAGGATGTCATAGTGGCATTGATTTACAAAGAACAGTTTCATAAAACATGACACCACTGTGGGGGTTTTCTCAATAATCCGAGGTGTGTATGGTTGTGTACCTACAGTTGCCTCCCCCATTCCCTCTCAGTCAATCTCCCCCTCCCCCTTTTTTCTCTCATTTCTGATCTTCCTTTCTCTTTAAATCTTTTTTCCTCTTCTCACTGGTAGCTACTTTCAGTTTCTTTATTTTTCTCTACCTAATCTACTTTCATGTTGAAGTTTTAGGAGGGGGGCCACTTTAGCAGACCTAACCCACTTCTTTCCAGAGGGTTTATGTCACTTGATCAAACCAGTGGTAAAAAAAATAAATACATATCGTTCCCGGGCCTAGGCCCTAGGCTACTCAGACATCTTTCTTTAATGTGATATGATGTAATGCGCACAGATTCAGGTGCACTAAAGACTATATAGTGTGTAGACTACATTATTCTTACTACGTTTATATGTTTAAATCAAATTGGCAGTGTCTTGCATGATGATTAAGTAACTTTTACAGGTGAATTTTCACTACATTCACTAAACTAAGGGGAAATTTACCTTGCAAAGTGAACAGCATATTTCCTTTAGTTTATCTTCACTTTGGATGGAGTGCGGAAAGGTTAAAACCTCTGTCAATTATAGCAGAATTCTTGAAAGAATTCCAAGCTATAGAATTATTTATATCACTGTAATAATTACCAAGGATATGACATATTTTTTGACACAAATCCCTAATCTTACTGCCTTGTGTGGTCTGGAAAAGATTAATTCCCCCTCATGAGACTGCATTGGTCAAAGTTTCCTGGGGATCTAGTTTGAATTTTCTAGATCAACGCTGTTGGTTTTCGTCATAGCTTTCTGCCTAAGTAATGGTATAAATCTACTTTTTAACACACTGTCCCCCCATCAACCCACTGTACCCTCAAGGCTAAAACAAACCTCATCCCTAAACTAACGGTATATCTAGTGCTAATTAACCCCTGCTCTTCTACATATACATTTCATCCTACCCTAATAGCATGCAATCTCCAGCAAATATCTCCCTTCCAAAATAAACTCTTGATGTAGAAAGAGGGAACAAGAAAAAAACATTTTTAATTAATTTGTATCATTTTATAAAATATACATTAGTGTTACTTGTCCATTGTTTGTATAAGTTGTCATTTAATATTATACACACATGAATGTGAAAGTTTATATATAAGCTTTCTTTATCCTGCAGTAGTACTGACTAGGAACACAGTAAATGGCAATTAAAATGTGCGTCATCCCTGAGACTGCTGTTTTAACTGAGCAAGTACTTCATTTAACAGATTGCATCAAAATGCAAGTGGATTCATCACAATCCAGGGGATATTGATGCTCTCCTGGTATGATATATTGGCTAATTTACTTCCCAAGAAAGGAAAAAAAAATTAAAAGCGACAGCTGCGTGGTCTTCTCATTCAAGTCCCTATGCATCTGCTCCAAGCACTATTAAAATGGATCATGCTATTAACGTTTCCTCTTTAATGTCTTTGAGTCTTAAACATTGATTAAAACCCCACAGGGAAGATCTCAGAACGGTAGGGGATGAAACAAAACAGCTATGGTGTTCTACCTTTTAGGGGGCATCTTGTCAGGGCTGCAGCTGTGAATGATGGTTGTTCACCTGCAAGAAGCATTACCTTCTCTCTCTCTTTTTCTTCTGTCTTAGAATTCTCTCCACTACTCATCCTTTCAGTGCTGGCATGTTTACTTATTCCAAGTTCTTTGATCTGTTGTAAACCAAATCCCTCAAAAACAGTTGTTGGTAAACATGTTATTTCAAAAGTAATTGGTAATATTTGATATCTGCAGCTTTAATTCAAATAATATCTAACGATCCTGCCGTGAATGCCCTTGTTAAGGCACCTCGTCCTGTCTCCCGTCTGTGATTATGCATGATCACCCTGTCAGACGGGCTTCTGATGCAGACTGGCTGTTTCAATGTACGTTGCACAGACATGGTTCTGTTGTCACCATCAGTAAACCTTCCCTGGGAAATGGCATGCTGCCATTGCTGGGGGTGCATGTTTAGAGACCTAAAGAGGCTGCAGGAGATCAGCAACACTGAGATGCTACAAAATTTATTTTTAAAACATGACAATTATTTTATGATCTACAGAGCTTTTGCATACTAAAGATCATTCATTTATGGCCTATCCCTACCATTAACAGATATTACATACATTTGTGCGCTAAGTTTGGGTAGCAACTGGTGATCCCAATCACATTGCAAGGCTTGCCGTTTTGCACTGACCATTACCAGTAGTTATACTTTTTCTGATGTGTTATAGAGAGATGGAGAGAAATGTCTTTCTTTCACATGTAGGTCTTTATAAGACATGTCACATTTGTCTGCATGCAGAGGTATTATTTCTTATGCAATCTCCTGTTTGTGTATTATACATTTTTATATTGCCTCACAGCTTTGTCATACTGTATAAGTTTTTTCAAGTTTTTTTTTCTTTTTTTGTAAAACAAAACAGTAGGCATTGTGCTGTATAGCTGTTGAGTGAACACGTAGAAGATATGACCAGAGAATGTTACATTCTACAAATACATTGTGGGGGATTTAGCAAAATCTGGAGCAGTTGCCAATTGCAACCAATCAGCTTCTCTCTTCAGTTTGTACCATTAAGATTTGAAAATGAAAGGGAGAAGCTGATTGGTTGCTGTGTGCAGCTGCTCCAGATTGTCTGCTCCAGTTTTCATCATTTCCCCTCATTGTTTTTATGGTTTACTAAGATGGGAGAAGCGTTTAAATGAACTGGTCTCTCTTTCTTTTCCTGGTACATTGATTACATTATGTACTCTTCTCTGTTTATCTAGAACCTATGAGAACACCGAAAACTCTAAAAATTGCTGAGATACAGTCCAGGCACATTGCTGTCGATTGGGAGTCCTTGGGCTACAATATTACTCGCTGCCATACCTTCAATGTTACCATTTGCTATCACTACTTCCTGGTCCATGGCATGAATAAGGCTGAGTGTCTGGATATGGACCCCAAAGCTCCCCAGCATGTAGTGGACCGTCTGCCACCTTACACAAATGTTAGCCTGAAGATGATTTTAACCAATCCAGAGGGAAGGAAGGAAAGTGAGGAGACCATTATCCAAACAGATGAAGATGGTAAGTCCTTTTCATAAATGTTTTTTTATTTACTTACAATGTGCCTTTGCACTTGCTAGAGAATTTGACTACCCCAGGGAGAGTGAATTCTTTAGCACAGCCCCCTTTGTCTATGCTGGTCCAGCATTTTCACTCCTTTTAAAGGAGAACTATGGGGTCAGTGCTTTTCCCCATAGTTCTCCTAAGGGTCTTGAGAGGACATAAACTAGCGTCCTCCCGTGACCCAAAGCTCAGTATATCGCGAGCTACAGCTCGCGGTATACTGAGACCGCCGCAGGCGGGATGGCTTTACTGTCGAGATCCACCCAGCTGCGTGATTTGACAGCTGGCTCTGCCTATCTAGAGGTAGAGCCAGCTGTACCCGCCCCCGTCCGTTCCGCCTGTCAGCGCTGGTGGATCGGAGCGGGGAGGGGGGGAATCCCTGCAGGGAGCCATGAGTGACGGTCATGGCTCTCTGCAGGGAGATGATCAAGAAGTGAGCGAGTGACGGTATGTGTTGGCTCACTTCCCGATCTAATGAGCCAACTATAGATTTTCTCTTGAAGGACAGCTTTGAGTTGCTGGGGCTGTTGACAGTTTACCCAAGATTTTGGCACCCAGCAGAATAGGAAGTTTAACCAGTTCACAGTAGTAAGCGATAGAAATCGCACATGTAATCCGCGTCTTATTCAGAGTACAAACACAATTACCTGTTACACTAATATATACATGGTGTGTGCATGGCCTTATCCTAGCTCTGTATTTGAATCAAACTGCAATAAAATGACTAATGTACTTAAACCAATGTGGTTTTTCATATAACGTGCATTTGTGTTTAGAAAAGTTACATGACATGTTCTAAAGGATGTCTGTTTAACGGCATCAAAACTTGGGTGATTGATTTCAAGCATAAAGGTATGGCCTGAAGAGCTTTTTATTAGTGATACAGTTAGTCTATAGGAATCAATATCTAGTTGTAATTTTTCTCTATTGTGCAAGCTTTTAACATTCTAGCACCTAGCACTACATTTACTATAATTTCAAAATATTAGAAGATTTTAGGTCTTATAAATGTACAATGCAACCAACATTTTCTTTAGCACAGTGTATTGGTAAGCTGTGCTTTAGGATCCCAAGTGTCAGCATTGTTTTCATTTTTTGAAATTATATTATACTTCATTGTATTGTAAATCTGACAGTTTAAAGCTGATACTTGGGCACAAAAAGTTTCACTTATAATCCTCAAATAGCCACAAAGGATATACATTTTTCTGTAAACCCATATTTTTCCTAAAAGTAGCAGTGTCATCACTGTACCTAAGCAGAGCTGTGGGGGGGACTAAGCAGGCCCCACCCACTATATGCTTATAGGTAGGTGCAGTACGGCCAACGGCCACTAGATGCCCCCATGGGGCCCTGGAGATAGATGCAGCTCTGGCCTGGGAAGACTCTGTGTCCCAGGAGAGTTGATTTTATAGGGGGCGCCCGAGAGGGGTAGGCAGTTCAGTTGTGGAGTTCAGTACAGGAGAGCAGAAGTCTAAGACTGCCTGCAGAGTCTCTGGAGAGAGACTGATTCTTGAACATAGGCTTGTCCATGGGAAGGACAGGACCAGGCCTAGGACTATGTAGAGCTACAAAGATTCCCTAGTAAGTCGTGGACTCTGGGCTGATGTACCTCTCTCTCTCTAAATTGTAACCCTATGCAACCATCAAGAATTGTGCCGTCATCCCACCCGGGGGTGGCTGAAACGTATACTTTGTTATGTTTATACCTTCAAGTAAAACCAACAAAAAGACTATCTGTGTGGACTGGTTCTTCTCCCTCCAACCTCTGAGAAGGTGGGGTTCTACCGGAGTGTGATGTTGGACTGTATCGTGGCTGTAACCATCCGGAGGAGGGTAGGTGTGCCTTGGGGCTATGCCTGACACGGGGTGCCGTTCATGGTGGCCTTTTTCCGTAAGGGGGAGAAAGCGCTGAGTCCCGCAGAGGCGGTGGAAGCCATGAGGCCCTGTGTGCGCAGTACTACATGTGTGGGAGTGTTTGCACGAGGCCGTGGCCCCTGACCGTGGGGTGTCTGGTTTTCGAGTTGCATGCACCCCAAGAGTGAACCCCGCCTACATGCTGCCTGCAGAAAACTACAGGAGGGGGGCAGATACAAGACCAGTCACTCTGCAGAAAGAGAGTGCAGCAGCAACTGGTTTTTATGATGGGAAGCTAATGCATATTCTGTGCTGGATCACTGCAGAGATCTGATAAAAAATACACAAACCATACCAAGATTCAAGCAAGAATATACAGGCCTGTTGTTTTTAGGCCATATTTGCTTATCTCAGAAATCAACTTTTAAAACCACTGAAACGGAGTTTACATTTGTAGTCCTAAATATTACTATCTTTTCTGTGCTACCAGTGCAGTCCATGTAATTAAACTGATGTTGATTTTTAAAATAAAGAAAACAAATTTAAAAAATTTAGTTTTGTTGATGTTTAAAAAAATGTCCCAGAATAGTTCATAATATTGCTACAGTGGTTTTTGTTGAACAACTTTCCCTCATTGCAAAAATTTGTATTAGCATGGTTTATGGTTTCACTTTAGAGGCTCAGTGTGATCTCCAAGATGATAATTTTAACATTTGTAATACTAGAATTCTCCACTTTATCAAACATTGTGGCAATTATTAAATATCCGCAGTGAGTAGAATGGTCCCATTTATATTTTAATTCTAACTATTAATGCACTGCATTTGGTTTGTGAAAACCCGTAATTATGCAAGTTCCACATTACTTTGTGTAAGATGGAGAGAAAAGCCCATCAAGACAGAACAACCCTTGGCAGCTAGTCTCTTCAGTGTCTCGACACGCACAGCCTGTCATTTTGCATTGCCCTCTAGGTCTCTACACTCACATGTCAGATGCTGAAGGGACAAGGCAGTGCTTTCTCCTCCACAGCCAGAGACTCTACTGACAGCTCATCTGTCTGAGGAAGAAGCATGTCACATGTCCTCCTCGGGTTAGGCAATGCTTTAATCTTTCCTGTCACCTCCCTTACTTTGAGGCAGAATGTGTGGGATAAGAAACTTTAGATGTACCAAATCTTTTAACCAAACTAAACAGAAAGGCCCCAGTGACTCGCATCTGCTCGATTTTCTGTCTAAAATAATTTTGGAAAGGTTATGGTTCAGCTATGGAAGTTTGGTGGGGAAAATAATGGTGGTGACATTTTGCAGCAAATTAAATATTTGTGTTGATTTTTTTCCTGCTATAGAATGACATCAGCTATAATCAAATTATTGCTATGACCAACAACTATTTAAAAACAATAAAT